AGGAAAGGATTGAACTTAGAGAATATCTAAGCTGCCTACGTACCCCGAGTGGGATCAAGTCGTAACGTAGTTCAAAGGAAAAAAAGGTAGAATTTTTTTTTTTTTTTTTTTTTTAGGAAAGGACTGAACTTAGAGAATATCTAAGCTGCCTACGTACCCCGAGTGGGATCAAGTCGTAACGTAGTTAAAAGAAAAAAGGATAGAATTTTTTTTTTTTTTTTTTTTTAGGAAAGGACTGAACTTAGAGAATATCTAAGCTGCCTACGTACCCCGAGTGGGATCAAGTCGTAACGTAGTTCAAAGAAAAAATGATAGAATTTTTTTTTTTTTTTTTTTTTTTTTTTTTTAGCCGTGTATAGTTTCAACTCATGCGGGCCAGGAGCCTTCTCCTCCGCTTCATGCGTAGTACCGCTTCAAGAACTTTCCATTTATCGGACCAATTCTTAAACCATCTTCGGCAACCAACTTGTACGCTCCATTTGTGTATGCTTCTTTGACGACATAAGGACCATCCCACTTTGAAGTAAATTTATTTCCCGTTTTATGTGAGATGATGATGGGCCTCCTTACGGCAAGTACCAAATCTTCAACTTGAAACGATCTTGGTCGCACCTTCTTGTTAAACGCCCTAGAAAGACGAGCTTGGTAGCATTCAATACTTTGTTGTGCCTCTAATCTTTTCTCGTCAAGTGCTTCCAATTCTGCAAGACGCAAACGAGCGTTTTCTTCTTGAGTGAGTTTTTCTTGTATAGCTATCCTCAATGATGGAATTTGTTTTTCAAGAGGCAAGACTGCTTCCACACCGTACACCAACGCATATGGAGTGGCTTGAGTAGGTGTTCTATACGTTGTTTCTATAAGCCCATAAAGCTTCTCCCATTCTTTCGTGCCAATCGCGTTTTGATTTGGCGATCACTTTCTTCAGCAAATTACATAAAGTCTTGTTGAAGGCCTCGGCGAGTCCATTGGCGGCAGCGTTGTACATTGAAGACTTTCTTTGCTTGAAGCCAAACTTTTCACAAAGTTTATCTATCACACCATTGCAGAATGGCTTTCCGTTGTCTGTGATCACACATCGAGGAACTCCGTAACGGTAGATGATGTTGATGCGGATGAAATCGGCAACATTCTCCTTTTTTACTTCTCGAAGAGGCACTGCTTCAGCCCATTTGGAAAAGTAGTCTGTTGCTGCCAAGATATAGAGATGTCCAGCGGAAGACTTTGTTATAGGTCCAACTACATCCAAACCCCAAGCATCAAAGGGCCATGAGGCAACAGTAGGGTGTAATGGCTTTGGCGGTTGATGAATAAAGTTTGCATGAAATTGACAAGGTTGACATTTTTGGGCATACTCCATGCAATCCTTTACCATAGATGGCCAATAATACCCCATTCTTTTTATTCGGAAATGTAATTTGGGTCCTGATTGATGGGCGCCGCAAATTCCGGAATGAGCTTCTTCTATGGCTTGAACGGCTTCGTCATCACCTAAACATCTGAAGAAGACTCCATCAAATGAACGTCTTTAAAGTGTATCTTTGTAGTAGATGAAACGAGCCGCACGACGTCGAATATCAACTCTTTGACGTGGATCATTAGGCAACTTTTCGTACTTCAAGTAATCCACAAATGATTGACGCCAATCTTCCTTCTCGATTTCAAACACGTAAACCACTCGAGTTTCGTCTTCTTCAATTTCTCCATGTTCAACGATTGGTGGTACGACCCACCTCTTGAAAATTGATATATGAGCTCCGTCTTCGGGCATGGCTAAAGTAGAAGCAAGTTTTGCCAATGCATCCGCTTGTTTGTTATCATTTCTAGGCACATGTTCTATCGTCACATCACCAAGGTATCCGATAAGTCTTTTAGCATAATCGACATAAGGGAGTAAATCAAGCTTCTTAACTTCGTATGATCCGAGTATCTGATTGATCACCAACTTGGAGTCTCCATATACCTCCAAATTTAGTTGCTTTATATCAACTGCCATTTCTAGCCCAAGGATAAGAGCTTGATATTCAGCAACATTGTTAGAGCAATTTTGTGTTAAGGTAAAAGAGTGAGGCAACACTTCGCCGTTGGATGTGACAAATACTACTTCGGCGCCCGCTTCTTCTCTGTGAGAAGCTCCATCAAAGTACATTTTCCAAGGAGGACTAGCTTCAATTACAAGAACATCTTCATCGGGTAGATCATCGGATAACTCCCACTCTGCAGGGATAGGATGATCTGCCAAGAAATCGGCTAGGACTTGCCCTTTCACAGCCTTTTGTGGAATGTATGTTATGTCAAACTGCTGCAATTGTAGGTACCACCTTGCGAGTCTGTCGGATAGGACGAGTTTTGACATAACATACTTTAGAGGATTCATCCTTGAGATTAGGCGGACAACATGTGCTTGAAAATAATGCTTCAACTTTTGAATTGCAAAAATGAGCGCTAAGCATGTCTTTTCGATTGGCGAGTAGTTCAATTCATTTGGTGTCATTGTTCTACTCAAGTAGTATAAGGCGCTCTCTTTTCCATCATCATTCTCCTGGGCTAGTAAAGCCCCGACAGATCGATCTTGAGCAGCAATATAGAGTATTAACGATCGTCCGGGCACTGGTGCAATCAACACAGGAGGCTTCATTAAATACGATTTTATACTTTCAAAGGCACTAGTACAAGCTTCATCCCATTCAAAGGGAACATTTTTCTTCATGAGTCGGCTGAATGGTTGACATCGACCGGCTAAGTTTGAAATGAACCTTCTTAGGTATGCCAACTTTCCTTGCAAACTTTTGAGCTCATGAATGTTCCTAGGCTCGCGAATCTTTAAAATTGCATCAATCTTGGCTTGTTCGATTTCTATGCCTCGGTGACGAACTACGAATCCAAGAAACTTCCCCGAAGTAACACCAAATGCACATTTCAATGGATTCATCTTCAATTGGTACCTTCTCAAGCGCTCGAAGACTTTTCTCAAATTTTGGAGATGATCTTCCCTTCTTTTGGATTTAACTACCAAGTCATCCACATAGCATTCAACATCTTTATGGAGCATGTCATCAAATATCTTCTGCATGGCTCTTTGGTATGTAGCACTGGCATTTTTCAAGCCAAATGGCATCACTTTATAGCAATAGATGCCCTTAGGAGTGCGAAAGGCTGTTAATTCTTCGTCTCTCGGCGCCATTCGTATTTGATTGTATCCTGATGACCCATCCATAAATGATAATGCTTTGTGGCCCGTAGTAGCATCAATCATTAGTTCGGCTATTGGCATTGGAAAGTCGTCCTTAGGGCATGCTTCGTTCAAATCTCTAAAGTCAACACATACACGAATTTGTCCATTCTTCTTTCTAACAGGGACAAAACTTGAAATCCATGTTGGGTACTTGACTTTTCGAATGAAACCAACATCAATAAGTTTATTCACTTCAGCCTCAACTGCAGGGACTAATTCAGGTCTAAATCAACGTTGGCCTTGCTTTACAGGGCGAGCTCCTTTCTTCACGGAGAGATGATGTATTGCCACTTTTGGGTCCAATCCGGGCATTTCTTTATAAGACCATGCAAACACATCCTTGAACTCGTGCAACAATTCAATATAAGTCTCCTCTTCGTTGACAGCCAGTAAAGCGCAAATGTAGATTGGTTGAGGATTCTCCGCATCTCCTAAATTGATTTCCTTTAACTCATCGATGGTGGCTTTGACTCCTTCTTCAAGCTCGGGTGGAGCAATTTCAGCGTCTTCCTCCTCAATCACGTCTATTTCACTTAAAGTGATATGATACGATGATGCCACACTTTCTCTGTCATCTTCCTCGTTGTCTTGGATTTTTGTAAAGACGACAGTTCGCATTTTAGCCTTCAACTCTTCACCACATGATATGGTCAAATAAGTACGCCGTTTCATGCGAGATGGAATTGAACTTCGAATCCTTCGTGTTTTGGTGATTTTAGTATTAGAGTCGAATCCTTCGTGTTTTGGTGATTTTAGTATTAGAGACACCCACATCTTGCTTGTTCTTTCTGTTATGCCCCCACTTTCTAAGTGGTCCAAGCCTATCAAAGACGGATGGCGTAAGTCTATCAAACCCTCGTTTGTCGCCTTTTTCATGCCCCCACTCTCTAAGTGGTCCAAGCCTATCAAAGACGGATGGCGCAAGTCTGTCGAAGACAGATGGTGTAAGCCTATCAAAGACGGATGTCCTTCTCACTTTTGTTCTACTTTCAAGAAAATCGTCTGTTGATGAGAATTCATCTTCGATTATGTAATTACTGGTAGCTCTATTGATAGCAATACGAATTGGCTTTTGTGGAACAAATCCAAGACCAACTCTAGGACTTTGAATAGCATGTCCCTTTTCTTTCAACATTATCTGATTAGTATTGAGGCCATGCACCTTTTCGGCAACAACTTCGGCAGGAAACCTTCCAAGCGTAGAATCTTCACGTGGGTTGAAACCAGCTTTCACTAAGAGTTTATAAGCATTTGGGCCAAAACATTTTGTCATTTGGGACTCGGAGAATTCTTCGCATTCCTCTTGGGTTCCTTCTGTGGGATGAACAAATCCTTTAGGTGGTGGAGAAGTTGATCGCTTCTCGTCAATTGGTGTTAGGGGAAACATCAAATCTTTCAAAGCCTCATACGCTAAAGGCGCATTGTCTTGATTATTTCTTCGCTTTGGTTCTTCAACTGGTAGAATTTCTTTGGCCTTTACCGTCTTCTCATCATCAAGATAGTACTTAGCATCGGCAAAGTCGGATTCTGCCTCGGTGAACGGTTTATCATCGGCGAGTATTATTTTAACTACTCCGTCTCGACAATACTTGAAACATTGGTGCCAAGAAGAAGGAACCACACTATTCTCATGTATCCAAGGTCGTCCGAGAAGCATGCAGTATGAGGTTCTTGCATCAATGACATGGAACAGTGCGGTGGACAACATATCATCCATTAACAACTCTATCCTTATGATACCAAGGGCCCTTTGTCCTTCTTGATTAAATCATTGGATCATCAAGCGACTAGTTTTGAGCTCCTCCGTGGAGATTCCCAATTCCTTTAAAGTCTGCAACGGCAAAATATTGACTGCAGAACCTCCATCGATTAAAATCCTATTCACCTTCTGCTCACGGGCGTAGCCGGCAACAAACAACGGCCTATTGTGTGGTTTGGAACCAAGAAGTAAATCTTCATCAGCGAAAGTCATTGTTGACATGCATTTACCAATCACGGTACAAACTTCATTTGGAGACGGAGTCGTTCCACTAGCAGCGGTCTCCTTTTCAATTATCGCGTTGCATGAGATGTTGATACAATCATCATCTCCTCTGTGTACGTTTGTTGTCGTCATGTCAAGGGACTCAAAAGTGGTGACGATAAAATTTGTAGTGGCGCTGATCTCTTCAAGTGATATCTTCCCTTGGCGAGCTAGCTGCATAACTTTATCTTTGAATACGAAGCAATCATGGATTGGGTGCCCGACCAACCGATGATACTTGCAGTATTTTGGGTCATCGGTCTTGTTAGCTTCTTCGGGGCGCTTCATTTCAGGCAATTCGATAAGTTTTAAACCTAGCAAATCGTCAAATATTCCAGCCACATCGATGTCGAGGAATGGATATTCCCTTGCTTGCATTTCTTTTAGAGTAAGTCTTCTTCTTTCTTGGGAAAAATCTTGTTTTTCCTCATTGTTTCCGTTCACTTTTCCTTGAAATTTGATAGGGGTTGCATTCACTGCCAAAGATTCTTTGCTTGAGGTCTTAGAGAAAACTCTACCCCCCTTCCGAAAGTCTTGTTTTTCTTTGGACTGTCGAGGCTCTTGAACTGGTGGTCCCTCAACTCCACTAGCCATAATGCTCAACTCCATGTCATGCGCTCTAGTGGCCAACTCTTCGAAAGTCTTAGGTTGAATCCCTTGCAGGATATATCGGAGTCCCCATTGCATTCCTTGAATGCACATCTCGATAGCTGAAGGCTCTGACAATCGATCCTTGCAATTCAGGCTTAAATTCCTCCAACGGTTAATGTAGTCAATGATGGCCTCTTCTTTCCACTGGCGAGAGTTTGTGAGCTCGATCATGCTCACTGTTCTTCGGGTGCTGTAGAAGCGATTCAAAAATTCTTGCTCCATTTGACTCCAACTGTCAATTGAGTTCGGCTCTAGGTCCGTATACCAATCAAAAGCATTCCCCTTCAATGATCGGACGAATTGTTTCACGGGGTAGTCTCCAAAAGTCCCAGCATTGTTGCAAGTTTCAACAAAATGTGCCACATGCTGTTTTGGGTTGCCCTTGCCATCAAATTGCTGAAACTTCGGGGGTTGGTAACCAATTGGCATCTTCAAGTCGTCTACTCTTAGAGTGTATGGCTTGGTGTATGTTGACGATGATTTTGAACCCTCATCAAATTTGTTCTTGATAGTTCCCATGATGAACTCCTTCAATTGGTCTATAGGAATCAACCCCTCTGACGAAACCTGGAATTCTTCAGCTGAGCTTTTCTCCCTGTCGGTTGGATGTCGCCTTGCAGAAGTTTCAGCTTCGGTGTGATTTTCACCTTGTTTTCCCATGTCGTGACTACCGTCAACTTTGTTCCTCAATATCGCGATTTGGGAGTCTTGTTATTGGATGTGTTTTGTTAGCCCTTCAATGGCCTTGGTCAAGCTCGCCATTTGCTCCTCCATGGTCGTAGCATGTGTTGTCATGACGGGGGCCACCTCAGAGTAGTTTGATGTCGAACGGGACGTGGATGATGAAGCTTCTCGTCTAGATCCTTCCACGTCTTCACCTGTGTTGACGAGAGGTGATGAGCCTTTCTCAATGATTTGCGGTGTCGAGCTAGTCTCGGAGGATGCCTGCAGTTTCTTAGCCATACTCCTTGTAACTACGCCTACACTTGATGAATTCGAAGTAGCAGCCTTCATCGCGAGCGGTTACAGTAACACTTCGAGGATCTTCGAGAGAGAGAAGAGATGAGAGGTAGAGAAGTCCCACCGGGCGTGCCAAAATTTGTAGCAACAAATTCTTATCTGCGATATAAACAAACAAGAAAAATTGAACAAAGATGATTTTATTGAATTAAAATAAATAAATTGCGGGTTACAATCTCTATTTTAATCCTCTGATTCTTCTCTCTAGAACAATATATAGTTGACTTGAATTTTCGGAGTCGGGTCGTTGACTTGATCTTCTCCGGATTTGATTTTGGATTTGAATAACGTTTTCCAAGGGTCTTGCGACTTGAATCTCGGATCGAACGTTGAACTTTGACTGAATTTGACTTGAAGATCTTGAAATTCTTGATGGATTTGGCCCTTCAATCTTCCAATGATCTTGACTTGAATTGATTAACGTTAATCCGAAGGTTTGGCACCGTTATCTCGGATCGAACGCCGGATTTGATGAAGAACGCCTTGAATTTGATGAAGAACGACTTGAATATTGTGAAGAACGACTTGAGTATTGTAGAGAGAATTTTCTCCTACGCTTTTTCTTCTTCTTTGCTTCTTGAATTGTAGAGAGAATTTTGCTCCTACGGTTTTGCTCCTTCAGTTGTGTTTTTCGAATTGTGAAGGGAGGGTCCCTATTTATAGTGGTAGAATAAGAGTCATTGATGGGCCTCACTGATGATGTGGCGCGATTTGATTGGCCCAATTTAAATTGATATTTATCTCTTGTAACTTGGAAGAGAAGAAACAATTCTATTGGCCAATAATTAATTGATATTTATCTCTTTATAACTTGGGAGAAAAGAAATGATCTTATTGGCCAATATATATTTAATATCAATTATTTATTTAAATTAGAAATTAATTTAATTAAATTCCAAAATATATAATTGATAAAAATATATATGTGACCGCATATATACGAGTCTTCAATTAGCATCTAAGTCCTTTGGCTATGTATAATTACACAAATGCCATTGGATAAAACTTTATTCCATATATAATTTAGCCATTTAATTGGCTTAAATTTTATTTGTCTACAATGATTATTTCTGTCTTCCCTTATTTGTTTCATTTTGCTATTACGACTTTTAATTTGCATATGTATTACTTTTGTTATATTTGCTAATTATATCTTTGTTGCTAATTGAACCAACAAACCACCAAGGTAGAAGAACTATTACTGAGATTATATTTCATAATGTATTTATAAATTTCTTCAAAATGAATATCTTGATACATATAATTAAATCTTGAGCATATTTTTTTTGAAATTAAATTATGAACACAAATTATAAAAATTTGAGTATATTTGTTAGAAGTAATGTATGAAAGTTTACTAATTAGTAAGTGAGGTCTCTTCGACTCGAGTACATATAAAGTTTTAATACATATTATTGTTTATGAAATCAGTCAATTATTTTTATGACATGCTATTATATATATATATATATATATATATATATATATATATATATATATATATATATATATATATATATATATATATATACTAACTATTGGCTGTGTCGTAACACCCACATAAGGAAAGTGGATATAAATGGCAAAAAAACAAAAAGGAATTATTTTACACTCTAATTATTTTTTGAAATGTTAGAAGTTTTATTAGGAAAACTATATATTTTAAAATCTAATTCTTCTATTTTGCAATATTTGAAGTTTCCCATCATTAAATATAACCTACACAAATCATGAATCGTTTTTATGTTTTTCTTCTTACAGAGAACATGTCAATATTTTCTGCATGATCATTTCATTTGTACGAAAAAAATAGTTTATTATATAAGTTTGAATCTATGGAAATTTATTTTATGCTTTTATAGAATTTTAAAAAACATAAAAATTTTAGAGATGTTTTTTTTAATTTATTTTAAATTTAATAAAATTATTCCTAAAAATTTCATAAAATAAGTATTAATTAATTTAATTAATAGCGATGATATTTATTTTATGCATAATTTTTGAATTATTTATTTTGCGCATATTTTATAATAACTTGAGAAGAAAATATACCATGGCTCTTATTTATCGGCCTTTGCATCTAACTTTGTGGTGTTCAGTTGTTTTGTGGTTATCTACGCCTAATTTGTTGGGATATTAGCAACTCAATGGGGAATTAATTATGGAGTATCAAATGGTAAAATTACTACTTTCCAAAACGCAAAGGAATGGTTTCTTTATACTCCCATCTTATTGAGGTGCAAAATTGTGCGCAAAAAAAAATAAAAAATAAAAAGGAATCAATTTTTCATTAAAAATAGTTCATGCAATTTTAACGTGCAAAAAAATAAAAACATCTCAACATATTGCAACTAAAAAGGGATAATAATTTATTTAATACCTACGGATTGGAGCGCATGAATTTGTTTGAAGTATTAAAGTATTATAATAAGAATCAATTAAGTGTTTGATCGTCCATTTTGATATCTCTCAGGCCATTGGGGTTGCTCTATATAATTATCACATTTATTATTTTTTATAAACCGATTCAATATTTCGTGTGAAAATTCAAAAATTTCGATTTCTTTAATAATGAACAATAAATTTCTTAAAATTTGTTTATACTTTTTGTTGTATATAATTTGTATATTATGTGACCAAAATCCGAATCCATTAACTTATGGAAACATATGAAATAATGTCCTTTACATGTCTATAAATAACTTAACAATATATTTATTTAATTTTTTATATATATTTTTAGATGAGATATATTTTTTTTTTAATATATAGTAACTAACATCGAGTAGATGTCTTGATTTAAATAATAGGACCTTATATATTTTTGAAACTATATCCATATTTTAATTCCTTTTATGTTTTTCTCTTTTTGAAGAGGTGATATTTGTTTCTATTTAATACTTGACAATAACATCGAGAACACGTCTACAAATTTTATAAACTTTAGGAATAAAATGTATATTTTTTTTATTTTGATTATGAAAAGGGCGAAATTCCTAAAAGCATCTTCAACTATAATATAATTATAGGAATTCCTTAAAGTTAAAAAATCATGCATTAATAATACAAATGGATATTATTATTTTCTATGGGCAAAGACACTATAGTGGTGAATGAGGCCTTCCTGAATGATTTTAGATTAATTTATATTATAGTGTTATTTATTTATGCGGTTATTTGTGAAAGTATTATTTATCTATGATTTTTCTCATTATTTCCATAATAATTTGAGTTAATTTTATTTCATATTTCGGTTGTGTTTTGAAATTCACAAAAAAATCTTTATATTATATTGTTCAAAAATTATTATTTAAAATCGAATATGTAATCAATATTTTGGAAATAAAATAGATTGGAATATTTTGAAGTTTTCAAATTTTATATTTTAATAAATCAATAATTTGTTTATAATACTGATTATGGAAATTACTTACACAACCCTTATAATAACGATTATGAAAATTAATATTAGTATTAGTATTGGTATTAATATTAGAATTAGTATTAACATAAGTATTAGTATAGTATTAATATTATAATTAATATTAGTATTAGTATTAGTATTGGTATTGGTATTGGTAATGGTATTGGTATTGGTATTGATATTGGTATTGGTATTGTTGTTCGTATTGGTGTTCGCATTGGTGTTGGTCTTAGTATTGGTATTGGTATTGGTATTGGTATTGGTATTGGTATTGGTATTGGTATTGGTATTGGTATTGGTATTGGTATTAGTATTTGTGTGAGCGTTAGTGTTATAGTTTTAGTATTAGTATATTTAGTATTAATGTTAGTATTAATATTAGCATATTAGTATTATTATTAGCATTAGTATTGTTATTAGCATTAGTATATTAGTATTTATTATTCTATGTAATCTAGCACTTCATATGTTACAACTCTGTATTCTATGTAATCTAGCACTTCATATGTTACAACTCTGGATCAACAGATAAATTTTATCTTTTTTTTAAGGGTAAATTATGAAAACCCCCTGAACTTAGTTTCAATTACGAAAAAACCCTCACCTATCCGTAATTACCAAAATCTCCCGACGTTTGTTTCTATCTTAAACCGACCCCCTTATGGTGTTATTTTTCATGGAATTTTTTTGATTACTTGGAATATTTTCAAAAAATGCCGATTTAATTCCTACAGAAGTGACCTTTTTTATACTATTTTTTAAAGGCGAAAATTACCCTCGGGAGGCCTTTACATGGAATTTTATTTTTCTTAAATAACACCTTCACAGTTTTATAGTATTACCACTACCTCTCCGAGAGTAATTTTTATCTTAAAAAGTAACATAAAGAAAATGCTACTTCAGTAGGAGTAAGATCAGAATTGTTCGGAAAATATTCCATGGAATAAAAAAAAATTCAGAGAAAAATAATACCATAGGAGGGTCGGTGTAAGACGAAAACAAATGTTAGGGGGATTTTGGTATAGGTGGAGGTTTTTTTTTGTAATTTAGCCTAAGTTTAGGGAATTTTTTGTAGTTTACTTTTTTTTTTTAATTTCATTTTACCAGTATTCGATTTGTTACAAATAAAATTGATTATTTTTCTCATTTTAAAATTGATCACCGTGCATCGCACGGGTGAATTATATATATATATATATATATATATATATATATA